CTTTTATAGTCATTTGACCAATGGAAATACTGTGTTCCTACCTATAGGATAACAGGCTACAACCTTGTAACTTTGGCAACTGTTTTTTGGGCCAAATCAAATGGCTTGGCGGGCCAAATTTGGCCCGCGGGCCCCACTTTGGGCTCCTCTGCAATAGAAAGAATAAATATAATAACATGTTGCAATTTGATTTTCAGGTGTAAAAAACAGTGGACTGGTCAAACGGTTTCTCATTTTAATTCTCATTTGTTTCACAAACAAATTRGATCAAAGATCAAGAAAACAACATGTTCTGAGAAGACGGTCTTGTATTTTTTAATATTAGAAACAAAAAATAACATGAGGAAATACAGGGTCAGAATACTATTTTCCATATATTCAATGTCCAGCTGGCCAGAGAACCAATATTTTAGAGGTAAAACAACTCACCCATCTTTACATCTATAGTTTTACTGTTTAGTTCTGAGTTATGGTAATGTCGTAAAACCTTATCAGTTTTCACTCTGACAGTCTGTTGCTGTTGTTTGGTCTTCAGGGTTCATCACGGTTGGTTTTAACACCGTACAGTACATCAGYTCATAGAGCAATGCTGTGCTCCGCCATTTGCCAGGGAATCTCAAGAGCAGAAGCTGGTTCCACAAAGTTGTCCTTATATCCCTGAGCACAGGACGCCCACATCCCTGCTTTGTAGCCCAACTCCTTGCCCATCTGAGCATATTGTAGRGGACTGAGCAGGTGATCATCAGGGCTGCTGCAGTGTCCTTGTGAAGCATAAAAGTGTTGCTCACCGGGACAACAAGAGTAGTGTGACGACGGTGGYCGCAATAACGTGTTGTTGTCCATGCAAACATGTTGGTCCGTGAACAAATGGTGCGTGCGGGACCCGTGCTGAGGCTGCATCTGTTGAGAGATGGATGCATGCCAGGGGACATAAATCTGATGATCCAGGTGAGGAACTGCAACCCTAGTCTGTTCATGTCGAGACGCTCTCATCACAGCTGGCCCTACAGATGACCTGTGGCACTCCCGGTGAGTGCACGGCTTGTTAGGAGGATTCAAATTCAGGAAAACAGACAAAGCAGAGATGTGACTGATGGCCCTTTGAAGTGTGGCTATCTTAGACAGTCTTTTGCCACTCATGTCATGGTTCAAGGTAACACGAAGGGCGTTAAAGGCTTGGTTGTAGTCCATTATGCGCTTTCGCTCACGCACGTTAGCAGCCATTCTTCGAGCTTTTGAGCGAACAGGACGATTTCGCTTCTTGGTCTGGCCTTCTTCTGAGTCATTGGGGCTGTTTGTTAAACTTTCACTGTCGTGGAAAGATGGCTTGGAACTTTCCTCATCATCACCGTGCCCCAGCATGCCAAGCTCAAACTCGTCCTCAGAAATCTCTGAACCAGCAACYCTGCTGCAACTCATCATGTCAATAATAACAAGTTAAAGCAAAGTCTTACGGCTAGTTCGCAGCTGAAGCGATGAAAAGTTTATGAGAAGTTGTCTGCACGGTGCCTGGTAGTCTCCTTTACCCCCTCTCTTGGCTTTTTTTCTTTTGGGGCTGCCGTGTTTGCTGCTGCTCCAACAGCCCAGTCTCTTCCTCTGACTCCTTTGGTGCACTGTGGTTACTTGTACCTCAACAAGGCAGGTTTGTCTGCTTTTTAAACATCATGAAGTCACATGGTACTATCACTTGTGAGCACTCTCTCCCATTCCAGATTTATGGGTGGCCTGAAGGCAAATGGCAATGTCACCTCCTCCTCCTGCTCTGACTCTCCCCTGTATCACTTTAAGGATCCTTCAGAAGAGTTGTAACCCTTAATATATTGCAATTATAAGCAAAATATTTTGTTAAAAGCCTAGCATTCCTTGAACAAAAGCAGATTGTTGTCTGGCTTTGTTGCCCAAGTTATTAACAAAGATAATTTAATAACGAAATATGTCAGTTATAATTGTTTTGGTCAAACTTTCTAATTTGGATCTTGATTTTGCGAGATCTCCAATGATGTGTTAGCACTTTGAGGATGAGTTGAGAATGACTCAGCTACTACCACACAGAAACATAGCTCAACCACTGTYACAATTGGCTTCATTACTTATTGTTCATTTGGCTACTGTTGATTAGCAATGATGGTCATCTAGAATTGAGGGGACTCCTAAAATAAAACACTTGATGTGTAGCAGTGCTTTAAGTGGGGAAAGAAATAAGTGCTGGTACTCCCATAATATCATATAAATATGGGATAGAGACATATGTAATATGTTTTTATATAGATCTATTTATAAAATAAGTATTGAACACGTCACCATTTTTCTCAGTAAATATATTACTAGAGGTGCTAATAACATGAAATTTTCACCAGATGTCAGTAACAACCCAAGTGATCCAT